TGTCTACTTCTATAGCAATATAAGGAGCTATTCTGTGCATGTTTAAACAGAAAAAAGGCCTATAGCACCTAGCATTCCCCAGTCAGCATAGTTTGTAGGGCGTGGGTTGGCAGTTTGTGGTTCAGCAGATCTTTGGCCAACAGGTGTGATTAGCCTTAAATAGCATTATGAAGAGTAACAATGAGGAAAGTTGCAGGTGAAATCATCAGGTTGCCCCTTGTTGCAGAGGATGCATCCATACCAGCATTTCATATCATAAAGTGCTGAGGGTAAGAGAAATGCCTTACAAAACTTTGCTTCTTCCACAGAAGCAAGTAACTCCCACTTATTTATTCATGGAAAGTTTATTTAGGCAAAACCTGTCCCTGCCCCTGCTATAGATGCTTCTACCCTGGTTCTCAAGAAAAACAGCATTTCTGTTCAGTTGGTTAATAATCAAATGTGGTGGTGGTGGTGGTGGTGATGATTTCTTAAATTTCTATACCTCCCCGTAGCCCACAGGGCTCACTGAGCAGTTTATGGAGAAAAACATATAACAACAAATTGTATTGATGAGAGTACATTGCTGGAAAATTTAATTCCAAATTACTTTTGTAAATTAGAAAAATACTCTTCAGTCAGTTTCCACCACAGTCAGTTTCTGTAGCTTAAATTCACTAAAAATTGTTTTGAAATCCATAGCTTTTCCTGAAGAAGGTGCCTTCCCATTTCTCTATCTACAATAAGAAGCAAATAAAATTTGAATGTTGATACTTTGACATACCTCCTTTTTAAGACACTTGAGAGAACTGGAACAATGGTTAGTTTATCATAGTAGTGGAACAGATAACAAATGCTCCAGCTAGATGTTATTTTAAATTAAGCTCTACTTCCAAGGAAAATTCTCTGGACTGTGGGAAAATGTTTAACAGCTTGTTCTAATGTCCTTTTGCTTAAACCGTAGGTCAAGAGCAGTAGGAGCTATTTTCTCACTGTGGTGGGAAGCCACAATCCATTTCCTGTGCTGTAGATCCAATGTAACTATCAGCCTGGGGTAACTCTGGGATCTCTTTAAAATTAGATAGGGAATCTAGAGGAACACAGTGCAGTGCCATCTATTTTTCTTTGGTCAACTATGTTTCTTTGGCTGAGAGTTACCATCTATAAATGTGGAACAAACCTCACTATTCTGTTTTAAGTAGTATTTTTCTATGTTTGACAGAAAGAAACAGTTAACAAAGTTCAAATTAATGATTCTAAGAATTTGCTATAAAGGGATTTCTTAGTACCCATTTCCAGATAGTCATAAAAACACATCACAGTTTCCATTTATAATCTGCTTATCTACTAAAGTACTGATATATGTGTATAAGTCTGAGTACTGATATATGCGCTGATATGAAGTCCTGTTATATGCGCTGTTGAGCTGGTTTAAGGCCACCCTTCCTCAATGTCATATTTTTCATGTGTTTTGGACAACAATTCTCAGGATTCCTGACCACCAACCATGCCTGATGGGATCTCTAGTCCCCAAGCTGGGGGTGGGGGCGGGGGCAAGTTGGGCAAAGCTATTCTGGAGCACTGATAAATTGTCATGGTGAATGTATTAGCTCTAGACTGTTTCTAGGATCATAGTGCTTTATTTAAAAAATGGTGAGATGTCCAGAAACAACATGGCATGCTTCTGTCACCTCTCAAATCTTGATAGCCCACTGAGAACCAATAGAATTAGGATCTGCAAGGGTTGTGCTACAGCTTGCAGGAAACCATGGATCTAATTGCAAATTTGAACTAACTATGGAATCCTTGAAACAAACAAACAAACAAACATAAAACAAGTTCCAAAGAAAGCAGAATCAGTGCTTGGATTGCATGGAGAGCTTTCTTCTCATTGTCTGTGCTGTTTGCTTTTTTCTTTCTTTTTTTTCAAAAGCATGTTTTGAAGTTGAGTCCAAGTGCTTGTCTACTTCAATTTCCTGTTTGGTTTTCATTATGGTGGTGATAATATACATCAGCAATGATCTGGCTGAATGCATGCAGATTTCTTAGTCTTGCTATCACCCCGTCCAGAATAGCCTACCTTAGATTGCAACCCAGCTTTCAGCAGTTGGCTCTAAGCTTCTGCAATCAGGGTTTTGTGCTATAAAATATAGTACAGTTGCGATATTGTATTTGCATAAGTCCAATTGGTTCCACTAACAAAACTATGATGTCTAGTGTTTGCCAGTTTTTGTTTTCTAATACAAATTTTTAAAATTCTTATTTAAAAAATACATTTTAAAAAAAGGGACTTCAGTTTAAATAACTGCTCTGGATTAAAGGCAGAAATGTGTGATGTTAAAGGGGAAAAAACCCAAATTGCTATAACTGAAATATAATTTGTGTACTCAGGTTGAATATGACTGAGATGCATAGAGATGTAGCTATCAAGTGACAACTGTTTGCTTATGTTGATGCAAGACTTGATTTAACCATAAAATGGAGATGCAGTCTACAGAAGCAGATCTTGACATAGTGTAATTCTCCTATAATAGACTTATTGTGACATAGTTACATAGTTACTTTGGGTTGTAAATTCCTGAATGGTTTATTATTATTATTATTATTATTATTATTATTATTATTATTATTATTATTATAGACTCTGTTAAAGATCATCTTTGCCAGTTTTGTACATCAAGTGAACTGGTAGAATGTTTAGTCTGAATATAGTAGAATAAGTCTAGGCAACCTGGTAAGTTCCAGTTTTTCTAGACTTTAGTTCACACAGTTCCTTGCTACTGGCAATACTGTTTGAAATTGTAGAATTGTACTCCAAAACACCTGGAGGGCAGTGGGATGGAAATGCAACTCATGAGGCTGTAGGTGGAGAGTATCAGTTTGTGAAAATAGCAAAGAACAGAAGGCTGGGTATACCATGTAACTTTCTTGATGTACTGGTTTGTTTGTTTTCACGTGAAGGCAGTTTTTATATGGGGAGGGGAGGGTTCAGAAATATGGTTCCCTGCACTATGAAATATAGAAATATGGTCAAGTGAATCAGCTCACTCTAAAACTGCATTCTGATGGCAGAATGCAATTTTAAGAGTGAGCTGCACACCTAGTTATGCTAAACTAGTAAATGGAGATATAACCTATGCTCTCAGAGAGTGTGTGTGTGTCGAGGGGCAGGTTTCTCTAGATATTGGAATAAGGGAAGAAATATATTTTGCTACATGGCGTGAACTTTTCATATCTACCAGTGGATATGGTGGGACCTCAATAATGGAGCACCTGGAGAGAGAGGAAACAACATGTGGAACTCATGTGCTTCTCTACACTTCTGAAAATCAATTTCCTTTCCCTTACAAGGGAAATTGTGGGTGATTTTTAACCATCTTTATTATCAATGAAATTGGTTTTGTGGATTTTATTTCACTCATGGGATTCCAGTTGTCCATCCCTGTTCTTTAAAAACAAAATACTAACATATATTCCAGGAGCACATGTGGTCTGTGGTTAGGTTATTTGAAAGTTGTTTCCCCCCACAACAAGCCATGCTGTTGCATTTGTGCACAAGGCAGGTAATTAGGCAAATAGTGCCTGACATAAAACACAGCTCAAACAAGCCACTGCAGCTTGTTTAAACTGCTGTGTTTGTGAGAGCTCGGTCAGTGTCTGCTCTGTTACCCAAAGAAACACAAAATGTGTGTGCTAAGTATGGATCTTGTCATCTTTCTTTCTTTTTTTCCCTTTTTAGCAGACAGTTGGAAAGGTGTTGCTCTTGCAATTGCTAGTATATCTGCAAACCATCAATTGCAATAATTTTTGCTGTAATTAATGTCATAGTTTAATATAAAACACCTTGTTTATAAGATTGTATTTTCCCTGTTTAACTTCTTGTAAATTTTCCATTTCAGAGCAGATTTTTTTATATTAAACTGTCTTCCAAAGTATTGCCCTTAAGTACCTTTATTTACCCTATCTATTTCTTGCATGAGCTTGCTTCCAGTTCCTTAGTTTTTCCTCCATCTGAATCAGGACATTTGGAACACTGTATTTTACTGAAGATTTTTCACTTAGGCACTATGATAATTTGGGGATATATTTGCATCTTTATTTTACAGTTAATCCTATGCAGATTATTTGAATTTTTGTGGGAGGAGAATCCTGTCATATAGTTAATGGCTGTGTAATCCTGTAAGTTTTAGCTGACTGATTGAGTTAATTATATCTCCATAATTTTTTTTCCCGATTTATATCCTGCCTTTTTCCTACAAAGGGCTCAAGGCAGCTTACATCATTCTCCTCCTCCATCTTATCCCCACAACAACAACCCTGTGAGGTAGGTTGGGCTGAGAGTCTGTGACTGGCCCAAAGTCACCCAGTTGGCTCCATGGCTGAGCGGGGACTCGAACCCAGATCGTCTGAGTCCCAGTCCCATGCTCATCACCACTACACCACACTGGCTCTCTATTCTGAAGTGATGGAGCATGCTTTAGGGTAGAGCTAGACTTAGTCATGCTTAGACTAATTCATTGAAATCAGGGACTACATAGTCATGGCTAACTTAAATCCCACTGATTTCACTAGGATATACAGTAAATTTGACTATTTATGGAGCCAGCCTTTAGCTGTTAAAGCATTCTATTGGGACAGGCATTCTTTTCTGTATGAAGATACAAATACAATTTCTAAGGTGGGACTTAACTACCTGTGGATTTTTAAATTATTTGCATTAAAAATACTGTTAAGCATTTTAAATGTTGATACTCAGTGGTTATCAGAGAAATAAAAGGTTTTTAATTGATTAAAGGATTGATCAACTAAAACTTTGCAACCTTGTTTTGGGATGATAATAAGTCAATAATGATAAAGACACTGGGTTCAGTATCCGTTGGCTCTTCGCTTTGTTCAGAATCTTCTCTTCATGACCACAGATTCAAAAAATGGTACTGTATTGCACAAATTCATAATTTATTGTTATAAACTTCGGATGTAGAGGAGTTCTAAAGTCCTTTTATGTTTTGCTTTGTCTTCCAAATATTAGCCATGGTTAATTGGTTTTTGGCATCATGTTTAGCAAAGAGTATTCTTGCAAATGCCAGTGTGGTTCCAGTGGGACTTCAGCCTGCTGGAGTACCTTAAGCCTGTGTTGCCTCTCCAGGCATTCCATTGCTAATGGGTAGGTACCTGGCTCAAATTTGTTGGCAAACAAATGAGGAGCGTCAATGATCCACTTCAGGTCCCCAAGTCCATACACACAAATGTCTCTGACATAATGACCTGCAAAAGAAACATTTCAAAGTGACAGTCCCAGTCAGGATGCATCCAGGAAATGAAAGAGGTGGGGAACATTTTGTATTAGAGCTGAGAAAAAGGCCAAAATCAGGCCCCATGGACCTCGCTGACCAATTTCTTCCAATGACCCCAGGATTGCTATTGCTATGCTAATTTGCTTTTGGTCCAGCTCCAGTGTCCTCTCTCAAGCCCTCTAGAGAGGTGGAGCTTCTTACAGACATGTGCAGTGGTGGACTGGTTGTGTTGTGGAAAGCTAACATGATTCCCTCCCCTGCCTTTCCATGAACATATCTTTATGCACAATCTGTGCATGCAAATGAGAGAAAGGAAATACTTCTGTGAGCACATGGCTCTTGAAGATGTGCATATGTTTTGTGGGGAAGCCCACCAGCAAGGTTTGTATTTGTAAAATTAAACATAAAAACAAATTTAAAGCTCCCAAATGAATTAAGGCTCCCTATCACTGGCATATATTATAAACTATGTTTTGAAATCCTGCCCATTAAAGGTTTTTGCCATGTACATGTGCTAATGGAATGTATTTGTTAATGGCACAATCTCACTCAGAAGTACATACCTCTGAGATCAGTGAAGCTTGCAATTGTTATTTACATTAGTGGATTTAAGGTATCTCAGAATATTTACAGAGAGATTTGGATAATGTTTCATATCTGGATAATGATTCCCTTTCTGAGCCATTTCCACAAAACATTTGCATGAATGATGGCAAAACCCATATTGTGTCCTGGGCATTTGGGTCCCAAGTATGCAAACATAATGTGGTAAGACCTCCCTAAGAAAAATAAATCCATTGTTCTTTGACATAATTTCAGCCATCCAGTTTTGGATCTTTAGTTGTATCTGTTTCTTTCGGCTTCAAAGGAAGGCAAGTAAGATTTGGGGGCGGGGGCGGGGGCGGGCGCAGTGGAGTTCTTTCTGTTTATGAGTCATCATGCACAATATGCATCAGGCAATATCTTTCATAAATTTAGCCAGATCAGATTCAAAATTAGTGGATAATTTTTTAACATTAAATTTTAAGTTAACTATTTCCTCCCTCTTCTCCTGCTAATCAGACTAGGATTTGAGACCTCTTAGGCATGTTCACTAGCATGCACCAGCACAGACAGCTATGGACCTAAAATGAGGGGGAAAGAGCCATGCTGCTGTAAATTCCTTTGGGAAATATAAATATAAAAATGCAATATTGTAATTGCTAGTGGAAGCGGAACCAAATATATCAATTGCATATGCTTATGCATGTTTCTTTTAAAGTGCTTTGTGAATGAATACTGAGATACTAATGGTAGATAAATTCAGAACTGAGATTAAGCCAATATTGTAGCAAAAGAAGTAGGAATTAATATTTTCCAAAAGTAGCAATCCATCAATTCACCTGGTACAGTCTTCTCATGTTTGCTGCTGTGAAGCCTCCATTTGCTTCTGCAGGGAATTTGTGGGTTTTACTGCTTAAAATACCATCGGAATGAATGGAGGCTGTGTATCATCAGGTCTTGGACAGATGTCTCTCTGTGCCTTGGAATTGGCTTGTGTTGTATGTAGTTTTTACATTTACCTTTGCAGCCATTGTGGGCTTTCCCTTCTTGATCTCGCCACTTGATAGCTCGTATATTTCCTTCCCATCGTGCATCTGGTGTTGCACCTGGAGCATCTATCACCAAATCAGAGCAAGGTTACTAAGGTTTAATGGAGGTTTATTTGAATTTATGCTACTCATACAGCACTGTAGCCCCAACCTGTTTTCTCACATGTGTTGGACTTGTAATTCCCAGCAGCCCCAGCCAGGGATGCTGGGACCCGTAGTCTAATACGTTTGGGGTGCACCCAGAGAGGGAAGATGCACCATTGCTCTTCCCAAGGTGACCAACAGGAGTGATTTTTTTACATCATGTGGTCTTCCTCTTTTATTGTTAGTTTTTCCTCTCCCCGCAAGACATACTAATTGTTCCTCTCTACAAAGTGTTCTGAGAGTGAAGCAGGGGCTAGGTTTAAACTTGGCAAAGCAAATAAGGCTACCTGTGACGACTCCACTCTGTTTCTCTTTACTGCTGTGGTGATGCAGAAATTTACTCTTTTGAGGGAGGCTATGAACCTTGAAAGTGGTTGTCCTGCTTAACTGAGGCACTGCAATAGCTCCAAGGGGGTAATCACTCAGAACCTCCCCATTCTGTCCTGTCTTTCAGAAGGGACCAACAGAGTAGTTGGGTGATAGATGTAGATCACCCAAGACCACCAAATTTGCAGGTTTTATTTAAGCAAAGACATTGGGCAGAAAGGGACCTAACATTAGCTTTCTGTGAAAGTTTTTTTTCTTAGAAGGCAGAATATCATGCTGGTTTATTACAAAGGTAGAACCATCTGAGGAAGGTACCTCAGAGACCATCTGGTGAAAGGCTCTGGTCAAAGGCTCTGCACTGCAAGTTAGCTAATATCTGAAGAATGAGGATGTGTTATTTTCTTTTTGAAGCCAAAAGAGATTTAATAAGTTTCATGCAACACTGAAATAGGCCTTGGGTATTTAAAACCTTCTCCAAGTTCCTTTCTTTTCTTAATCAATCAGATAGAATTAGAAAGACCCTTCTAATCTAGGATTTCTCTGGCAAATTGTTTCAAATTTTAGTACTGAGTACTGAGTTCAGTATCTCTGAAATACTGAAGGGCTGGTGTGAATGAGGAGAAAGTAGTTTTGGCAGCTTGGACTCCTTGCCCCAATAGACTTCTCCTGGGCTTGGAAATTCAATATAGGGGAACTCTACTTACCTGGTAGACGGTTCAGGGTGACCCAGTAGTGCTCATCAGGACTGTAGGTGTCCCTTGACCATTGAAGCAAATCTTTTGCACGTACATCGGTCAATGTAAACTCTACAAATTTTCTGGTGAGTACGTAGTAAGCACTTCCAAAATATATTGTCAAATTATGTGGAGGCTCACTTTTTATATTCTTAGTTGGATGCACATAAGATTTTTCTAAATGAACATATTCTTTGTAACTTATATTTGTTCGGTGTTTCATATAAGATGGTTGAACAATTCCTGGAGTTATATTTTTACCATTCCACTTGGTTTTAATATATAGTATAAGTTCCTTGTTTGTTTTGATGGGATAATCCTGGCCACATAGGTTAATAACATAATTCCATTGAGTTTTTGAATGAATCAAGTCTTTCATGCAGTTGATATCTGCTTGCAATCTAGAAAATCCTGCATAGACAACTGTCTCCCTCTTGGAAGCAATAAAAATGTTTTCAAAGCAGTTAGCCAGGGTTTGCACAGCCCTCTTATAATCCTTTGACGACTTTTCATCAATGTGTATACAGTAAACATTCTGAGGCACATAAATGGCTCTCAGTAACTTTATAAACATGTCCAGTTCCTTGTGAATGGTGATGATGTATGCCAAGGAGAAATTGCCTTCTTCTTCTGACAGTGGACTCGTAATGAAGTGGAGTTTCTCCTGAACAGCTGAACAGTTGCAAGGAGTCTGTACACAGGTAATTTTTCCCTTTCTGGGAAGAACCTGTTGGCACAACTGGCCAATTTGAGGAGCAGCATCTTTCCCTTCAAAGAGAGCTGAGCAAAGCTCATCAGGGTAAAAACCACACTCTGCTAATTCTGAGAAGATTTTTTGCTCACTCTCTGCTTTGGGCACTGTATTCCGTAGGTGGATAGAAGCATAAATGAAGATGCAACCCAGGATGCATACCAAAAACCCTGATTTTGCTGCCTCAAGTAGGTTCATCTTTTGTACTCCAGATGCTTTCGTCTGACCATAGTTCAGTGAAAAGATGCTTGTTCTATCTGTGAGGAAGAAGGAGGAAAAATAAGAGCTTGATTCCTTAATCCTGTTACAGCTATTATGATTCTTGCAGTTGGAAGGAAGGACTGGGAAATGGTTTCCTTTGCATTGAGTGGATTGTGAAATTTCATTTCATGAATACTTGTGAAAAACAGGCTGAACTGTGCCTTAAAATTGTTTGGACTTTACTGTTGCAAGGGATACAGGTGGAGGGGGTTTTGTTGTTGTTGTTCTCGGTTAAAAACTATCAATTTCTATTCTTGGTCAATAAACATGATGGGAACATAGGGGGGCGGGTATTGGCTCACATGTTTATTCTGTTCAGATGTTTAAGGGGCAAGCTGCGACTTGACATGAGCACATGGGAGGGGGTGCTGTGCCCTCCCTCTATGCCTTACCTTACTTCATCTCCAGTTTGACTGTTGCCTTTCTCCTTGCTCACTGACACTGGCAGTGAGGAAGGAAGAGAGCAGTGCTAGGAGCAGCAGACTTAGTGGATGTAAGGGAAGGGCTTAGAGCCAGGAAAGGATAAAAAAATAGCTTGAACAAAGATGGGGAACAGTGCAACAACATCTGGAGGGCCGAAAGTGAATAGTGTAGATACATTTTCAGTGTCTTTTATAGCATAGGGTAATCTTTTCCGTGTATGCACCCTCTGCAACGAAGTTTTGAAGAAGGCAACAATTTCCTAGCTTTTGACATGGTTTCTTTTCGCCGCCCTGCTACTGTAAATTGGTTTTGAAACTTTTCTGAATTTGCCATTCACTATTTTGTGGGGTTCGGGCAGGGTTGCTCTTTGAAACAAATGCAGGCAGAGCTGTGTTTTTGAACATCTTTGTGCATAATACTTTGGAATCCCTTGCACAAATATCATATATTTGGTTTACAACTACTCTGTTTAAATAGTTTTATTTCCTGTAGGAGTAAAGAGAAGCACTGTTCTTGTAATGCACTGGGTTGAATTCAGACTTAGTCAAGCTTAGAGAAGATCTACTGAAATTGGTAGGACTTAAGTTGCTCATGATTAACTTATCCCATTAATTTCAGTAGGCCTGCTCCAGGTATGTCTTATTCTGGAGCCAAACCATTATCGTTTTGGGAGCAGCTTGTCTTTTGGGATGATAATAAAAGGCTCAGTTTGCACTACCATTTTAATGAAATCAACACGGTGTTTACTTTCTGCTATTCTGCTTCCTAAATTAGCACTAAGAGTGCTTTTGAATGCAAAGTTCAAATGTGTTGAACCCCTTTCAGATTTGTCCAGCTAGGCAGAAAATTCTGACCTTAGCAATATTGCCTTGACTTGCTGTGCTATTTAAGCTTATTCAGATCTATTTTAACAAAATTGTATCGTTTTACCTTTCTGTACATGTTCTTATACAGACTTGGTTTTGTTGAAATAACCTAAGCTTCTCAATGCAGCAGTGTGTTTCCATAGAGTGCAGATGTGAATTCCCCATCCGTGAATTCTTAGATGCTGGATCTGTGCGGCACTAGAAAAGAGGTTTAGCAAAGGGAACAGTCTGTTGTAATACATCATGATGCAGACTGACAGATTATCCAAATTGATTTTACATGCTTTAGCACACACAAAAACTTTATTCAGTTGAAATAATTGTAACTTGTGTAGTCAAAAATTATTGTGGAATCACTGTTTTTTGTAACAGCATCGATGACTGAAATTTTCATACTTTATGAATCATCAATACAGCATTATCTATAGCTACTTATCGTGTTTTCCCATAGATTTTTCTTCTAAATGCAAGACCTAAGCTTTACTTTGAACCATTTATATTTTTTCAACCTGCATAGTCTTTCTGATTTCAGAGAAAATGCAAAACAGAAACCATTTTATAATGCATGAATATTGGAAAGAATATATCTCATTTTTCTTACTGGCATGTCCTGGAATTCATCAGAAGACTGTCTTTTTCATTGCTGTGTTGAAATCTTTTATTTGGCAAGCTAGATGAAGGATGCATCCATTTTGCTGCTTAGTTCTATCTCTGCTTTAGTCGCAACGTTCTTCAATGGAGCTGCTTGTGCCGCACTAAGAAAAACATCAGGAAAAGCAATCCCAGTAGTATAGTGTTTGTCTAGAGGCTCATAAGGGATAGGCTTACTGCGTAAACATGCGCAGAGAAGCAAGCAAGCATCTTCCTGGTACAAGCCTTGAGCATTAAGCATCCTCTGGATCTGCGAATGTTCAGCTCTTGTCTTGGTCTTTGGATAACGGGGAAAAAAGATGGGGGAGGGAGAGTCCTTGGAAGGTGGATGCAAGATTTTCTGAGCAAAACAGGCTCACGCTTGCTCTGAAGTTGGAGCCTGCTGCCAAGGGAGTGACAGAGCCAAGCGTAGATTAGCATAATGGACATTATGTTCACTGTAGTGAAGGTTTGGAGTGGCAGGGGAGTTACAGTAGGGTGGCATAGACTGTGTCACAGAGCCAGAATTACTGTGTTACAATGAGTGAATAATTTAAAAAGAAACAAAAAAAAATCACTCTGAATTAGACAGGCTAAAGGTTGATGTCCTAACAACATTGTCATTGGGAAGCACATGAGCAGAACATCAAGGAGAGCAGTAAATTCTAAACTTCAGTTATGTTTAATAGTGATTTGTTTGTTAACAGCACAAGAAAGCAGTTTGTGTCCTGAGGACCCCTCTTTCCCACTGAGGGGATATAGCCTACCTGAAGAAACTGAAATCTCTTGTAGCCAGCATTTATCTGAGCAAGAGTTTCGTGCAGTTCAAAAATGTGAATACTAATTTATAGCAAATCTATGTTGTTATAGAAGTGAAATAATATGTTGTCATCCTTCTTGAATCCAGCACAAACAGCAAGTCTTTTTAACCATTTGAAGGTCTAAAGGAATCTATGGCAGCCTTTTAAAAGAAGTCTCTACTGGCATAAGCTGCTGAGTGGGGAATAAATAAAGAGGAGGGATGTACGAGGAGAGTCAGCAACAGCTACATTCAAGGTGATGCCAAGGCAGGACACAAAGGGCAACCTCAGCCATTTTGGCAGCCAGTTCTGTCCACACGGTCCTATCAGCAGGACTTTATGATATCCAAAAAGCCTGCAACATTCAGAGGGAAATAGGGATGATCTTCTGTCCTTCTCAGACCTATGTTTCCACAGAGGTATTTCTGCATTTGCCACAGCATTCAAAACTGATTCCAATGGTCTTCTCTGCCTGCTGAAGGCTGTTCTAATATACTTTGCAGTGGTTTGTTCATGCTGGTTTAAGAGGGTTTTGCTTAAAGCTGCATTGGGAAAACATAATTGTCCTGTAACAGTCTTCCACTATGTTCTGCCCTCCAGATGCTTTGGACTTACAAGTGCATGAGCTGCACTTAGTCCAATCAGTGCCTGGGAATGATGGGCATTGGCATTCAGAACATCTAGAGGGCACCTTATTGGGGAAGACTGCCATATCAACATGTTAGCTAACAATTCAAAATGAGCCTGCATGTAAAATGGCAGTGGGGACATAATCTTAGTGTTAATGCACCAAGTTTGATTATTGGAAGCTGACAAATTCAGCCAGACTAACCTAATTTCATTTTTTTGATTGGGTAACCTCCATGCTGGACTATGGAAATGCTGTGGACATAATATATCTTACCTTGACAAAAGCAGATCACAAGCTGAGTATGAGTCAGCAATATGATGTGGCTACAAAAAGGCAAATGCTATTTTGGGCTGCATTAATATTAATCACTTGGAAGTCTGCTTCTCCTTTACTCAGTACTGGTTAGGCCTCACTGCAACAGGTTCTGGGCACCACAGTTTAAGAAAGATGCAGACAAACTGGAAAGGATTCAGAGGAAGGCAAGAATTAATCAGGGGACTGGAAATAAAGCCTTAAGAGAGATTGAAAGGATTGGGCATATTTAGCCTGGAGAAGAGAAAACCAAGGGGAGATATGATAGCACTATTCACGTACATGACAGGTTGTCACAGAGAGGAAGGCCAGGATCTCTTCTTGATCATCCCAGAGTTCAGGACATGGAATAATGGGCTCAAGTTACAGGAAGCAAGATTCTGGCTGAACATTAGGAAGACCTTTCTGACTATTAGAGCAGTAGAACATTGGAATCGATTACCTAGGAAGGCTGTGGGCGCCTACACTGGTGAGATGCAGCTCAGTAGGTTCTCGCACACATTCAAGATGCAGCTCGGACAGCGGTCTGAGAGGGATGCTTTAACTCCTGCATTGAAAAGGGGTTTAATCCAGTGGCCTTTGTGGCCCCTTCTAGCATGGCTATTCTATGATCTTAGGACATTTCCACTAGAAAATGTAATTATCTGGGTAGATATTTAACTCTTTTAAATTCAGTGGATGGGATTGAATCTAAATGAATTCAAAGTGTTTGAAGTCATCACCCCCTGTCCCATGCACACACTAAGGGATAGCTATTCACTAGATATACATACCAAGGGATTGTTCCTGATAAATAGGGACAATTGGTTTGTGAGGGTTAGTTATGCTGTAATAGATTAGCCTCGGTTTTGTCATTGATGGATTCTATCATATCTTAGCAACCCCCACTGTCTCGTGTATACTCAGTGATTTCATCCTCTGAGCGTGTGTAATATAAGTAGGGTGGGGAAAACTTCACTGTTCATGAGTACTATTATACTCTAAAGATTATACTTCTAAACATTTTTGTAAGACTTTGGTTTCCTTATTAGTGGTATAAAATAATTTCTGGGCTCATTGTCCTGTATGTGCTGTCAGAATTCAGTGGTTGATCTAAATAGGGTTTAAATAGAAAGTTGTCTGACGGCTCTTTCCACTGCAAAGGTACAATGTGCAGCAGTTGCGAACGCTATATAGAACCTGAATAAGTGCAGACATTTCTTCTTTACTACTTGTTGCAACTTTTAGAGAAGATCATCTTTTATGTTGGTGATAATTCTGTTAATAGTTAATGAGGCTTGAGTAAAGTTCACTGTGAAAGCA